GCTGGGGAGGGAGACAGGAGAGGACCCGGAGGAGCTCTATCTTGCAGCTCAGCCGGGTTTCTCTCGCAAGATCCGGAGCGTTGCCATGGCAACGCTCCGGGTCTTGCGGTAGTGAATTCTAGCCCCACAGGCTGGAGTTCACTCACTACTAGCACCACCAGGAATGGCAGCACGGTACCCCCCTCACACACACACAGCACCCTCACACAGCACCCTAACACACACAGCACCCTCACCCACACACTGCACACCTCACACACTGCACCACTCACACACAGCACACCTCACACACACACAGCACTCTCACACACAGCACTCTCACACACAGCACTCTTACACACAGCAGACACAGCACCCTCACACACACACTGTACAACTCACACACACTGCACACACTCACTACATCGCCTATACACACTATGCCCCCTATATACACACTCTCTACAACACCTAGACACACCTACATTACACTACACCACAAACACAACATGACTGAAACCAACCTATTAATACAAAACCACACCACAATCAGCTCACTCTACACACACGCAATCCCATAAGCCGAAGGTTCCCCACCCCTACTATAAGATAAGGCCAGGGACTAATGAAAGTATTTAGAAAATTGGGTAGTCTAGATGGACCAAATGGTTCTTATTTGCCGTAACATTCTATGTTTCTATGGTTTGGGAATGTTACATACAGGGGGGTAGAACTAATGATGCATAAACAAGGTAATTTCAGTTAGTCTGCAAAAGCATAATCTATATACCAAAATCACTCCATTAAATTAAAGTTGTTATGGTGATAATAACGTCCCTATACATTTTGCTTTGTAAAACAATGGAAAATGAAAATTAAGTCTATAAAGCATTAACTACCTTCCCTTTTAGCATAGAAATGTGGAGAAACTAATTAAAATGGATAATGTTAAATTTCATAGAAAAGAAGGACACAAGGTTGGAGGTTTAAGGTACAAAATATGAAATATCCCTCCTGAAAAGAACTCTTGGGATATGAGATATCTATTAATCCACTGGAAAAAAGTTGGAATTTTTTTCTGTTTACTTTCTTATCAAGATCATTTATGAACCAACTGAAGTATCTGTAATAACGAAAGATTGAAATATATATCTGATATAAAAAGTTTAGCTTATTAAACACACAAGGGAAGATTTTAACTCTTTTTAATTTCCTTATACAAACCAAAGGTGCCAACAACCTTTAGAGTTACATGAATTGAAGCTTTGTCTCATATTTTGGAATCAAAATGAAATGTGCACTTTGCAGTATGATTGCTCAAACAGACGCTGCCTTATATAGAGCAAATATCTCTCGAATGAATTTAATCACATTCCTCAGGTTTCTACATTTCTAAATATTGCCTAAAGGTATTCACTTTCAAGGACATAGTGTCATCTATATAAATATTAAATATTAAGCTTGCCTTGATGGAATTGATCCTTTTTAAGTCATTACGTTGTCCAATGGAGACAATAATGTAAAGAAATCCAAATGTGTATTTAGGATGGTTCTCCTTAAATTTAACATTAGGGAGGAAATATGCTTAGGATTTTGGTGTTGAATAAAAGTTTAATATTGCTGTTACTTGAAATTATTTAAAATTACATTTATATTTACTCACAGCTCTCATAATGTTTGTCTAAGGTTTCTCTGCTGTCTCTCTCACCTCTTAACATTATGCTAAAGTCTAAACACATGTGGTAGCCTCTCGGTGGTAAAATATCTTATCAGCATGCCTCCACCACAATACATGATATAGCAAATGTGCATCTAACTATCTCTCTAAGTTTAATTAAGTGTTCTTGCATAGCAAGACCACTTATTGTTATCTCACATATATATTATTATTCTTATTATAGCCAAATTTGCCACCCTAACTCCTCCCACAGTTTTTACACTACATAGACAAAAATTTACCAAAACGTGCAGATTGTTCCCGATCGGATTGCTATTACTTTGTGGAACGTTTCGCCGAATGGTTCACGGAATATCGTCGTTCTTGTGGCGAAATTTGTCCCATAGGAATGAATGGCAAAGCTAGAGTGGGAGCTGGCAAAAGTTGAAAAATCAGGACATGATTTCTAAACTGCCACCACTCCCTTATTTTCAGGCCCACCTACACAAATCTTATATCAAAACGTTCAGCTATCCCTGCTGCCACTAAACATGTCAACGGCTAAGCCATAGTCCTGATAGTTTTCACAATATAATCATTTGTTTGCAACTAACGCCGTCCATTGACATTCATTGAAACTTCACTCTACAAAGCTCAAATTTGAAGTGCAATTTCTAAACTGCGACTGTGCCTTCATTTTTTAATACTTCAGAGACATACTATGCATCAAAATGTAGGTCTGGGTCTTGTGATTCTCACAATATAAAGCTCTTCACTGTAGGATTTATAGTTTTTAAAATACGACCGTTTGAAGGTGGCAACCGCCAAAATACTCTGACCTGTGCCAGGCTGCAGCAGCAAGTGATGTCATAGACAGGGCCTTTTGAACACCTGCTAATGTTTTTATACATGTATGGTTTAATGTAACTGTGCAACAACGTTGCAATTAAATGTGCTATATAAATGATAACAGTTACTCCGCCCACTCCAGTTGTAGACTACTGGTGGAGGCAAGAACACTTCACACAATATCCCCAGAAATTGTAGCTTTTCTAGTTATTTTTACTCTGCTAATGTTGATGTGGTCAGGCTAGTTGAGCTTGTTTAACTCATGATTTGTAACTCAAACTAATATGCTTTAAACTCGACACTCCTGCACTTAAATATAAAATTAGTGCACTGTTATAACATACCCCAGTCAGGGCCAGATTAACATAGGGGCTGATGGAGCTGCAGCTCCAGGCCCAGGCCCATGGAATAGGCCCATTTAAACACACTACTCTTAGGTTTTCCACCTGACTGGTATTTTACTGGCACAGCCGGTATTTGAGGCTGCCTGGCTGTGCCGGTATTGCAGTAATACCGGCAATACAAATGCAGGTCATTTTCTCAGAATAAATGGAAATTACTCTGCAATACCAGAATCGGCCAGTAGGGGTCATTGTGTGTGGAGAGAGGCAGGGATAGGAAGTTACAGAATATCCCTGCCTCTCTCTACTACTCACTGATCCGTGGGGGAGCAGCAACACAGCACAGAGTCCAGACAGCAGCTCTACAGCTCAGGTAAGTGAGAGATGGGGGGAAAGGCAGCAGGGACACATGGGGACACTGAGACACATGGGGACACAGACACTAGGGGAAACAGAGAGACCTGGGAAAACTGAGACACTTGGGGACACTGGAAAACATGGGGACACTGAGACACTAGGGGACACTGAGACACTAGGGGACATATGGGGACACTTAGACACTAGGGGACACAGACACTAGGGGACACTGAGACACTAGGACACATGGGGACACAGACACTGGGAGACCTGGGGACACTGAGACACTAGGACACATGGGGACACAGACACTGGGAGACCTGGGGACATTGAGACACTTGGGGACACTGGAAAACATGGGGACAGTGTCCAAATGTTTCAGTGTCCCCATGTCTCCCAGTGTCTGTGTTCCTAGTGTCTCAGTGTGCCTGGTGTCCCCATGTCTCCCTATATGTCCCAGTGTCCCCATGTCTATGTCCACAACTGTCCCCATGTCTCCCAGTGTCCCCAAGTGTCTGTCTCCCAGCCAGTGTCCCCTAGTCTCCCAGTGTCTGTGTTCCCATCCCTAGTGTCTTAGTGTCCCCAAATGTTTCAGTGTCCCCATATCTCCCAGTGTCTGTGTCCATAGTGTCTCAGTGTCCCCATTTCTCCCAGTTTCCCTAAATGTCTCAGTGTCCCCATGTCTCTCAGTGTCCCCATGTCTCTCAGTGTCCCCAGTATCCTAGTGACATGGGGACACACTGAGACATTGGGACACTGGGAGACTAGGGGACTGGGCGACATGGGGGCACTGACACTGATACATAGGGACACTGAGACACTGGGTGACTTGCGAGACTGAGACACTGGGAGACAGGGAGACACTGGGAGCAATCCATCTATACAGCAGAATCAAACTGAGTAGTTTGTGATTTTACAGAATTTTCTCTGCTGTCACTCCTTGTGATTTACATCATGTGATGTCACACATAACTAATTAATTATACAAATGATTAAGGCTGGTATTATTTCCAAGAAAGGTGGCAAACTTAACTACTCTTCATATACTCTTGCTTAAAGGAGCACTATAGGGTCAGTAACACAATCATGTATTCCTGACCCTATTGTGTTAAAACCACCATCTAGCCCCTCTGGCCCCTTTGCCTCCCTAAATATAGTAAAATATTACTTGTATTCAAGTCTGCAGCTGCCAGCTCAGAAGTGGTGGTCTGAGCAAATTACAATACTTCCCCATAGGATTGGCTGAGACTGTCAACTAGGCAGATCAGAGGCAGAGCCAGCACAAGTCCAACATAGCCCTGGCCAATCAGCATCTCCTCATAAAGATAAATTGAATCAATGCATCTCTATGAGGAAAGTTCAGTATCTGCATGCAGAGTGTGGAGACACTGAATGGCAGTGCTGCACACTAGGCAGTACTGCCCCAGGAAGCACCTCTAGCAGCCATCTCAGGAGCGTCCAGTGGAGTTATTTTCTCTGAAAAGACTGTGTTTACTGCAAAAAGCCTAAATGGAATGACTCTACTTACCAGAACATATACAATAAGCTGTAGTTCTGGTGACTATAGTGTCCCTTTAAGTTTGGAAGAGGGATGTATGCGAACAAAACTTGTGTGGTCTTGGCTGACATTCAAAATTAGTTTAGGTAATGCAGACATTGGTCTTTCTAACACTGTGGCATGTCCCTTTTCTTCTACACTCACTACATACACATTTTCTCTGTCTCAGACTATATACCAGGAACTTCTGCCTGCTAGTAATAGGGTAAGGAGACAAGTGGACCAGCGAGTGCTAGGGGAAAGTCCTTAGAAAGCATGGAGTGAGCGCATTATTAGACGCATTTATGTCAAGCTCAAGGTGCTGCCTGCATAGTTTGCCCTTAGTTGGTCAGCCTGCAAGATTGGCAGGCAGCCTGACATGCATTCATGCCAGGCTGACCTTCCAATTCTTTGGACAAACATGCCCCCTTTTGGGCATGTTCACCCCTTTTGGCAGGTCTTGTCACGTGATTCGTGCCAGTGGCACACCCTTTTACCCCGCCCATTGACTACCTGCTTCACTGGACACTGCTGTTAGGGGTTATGGATTTACTTGAAAGATGAAAGCATAAATTATAGAGAAATCAGTATAGAGTATGTGTTTACTTATAGCTGCATTCTATGAGTTTCCCTCCAGCACCATCTCCATCAGATGACGCTTGGGAGGTATGACTGTTTTAGAGTTTTTAGTCGATAAGATTCTGTAATTAGGCCCATCATAATTGTCAGCACCAGGCCCACTGTGCTCTTAATCCGGCCCTGACCCCACTGTCCTTATTGATATGTTATCACTGTTTTGAACTATGCATGCAGACTGCCTTTGGAGTACCACATGCCTGTATGTTACCCTCTCAAGCACTGCAAAAAAAAAAATTACATTTATAAAAACAGAGTTATATGTATTTAGTGGAGTTATTCAGTAAACAGATATTCTACCCTGTCTGAGTGCATAGTTAGAAATTCAGAGTGAATTTGACTCTACAGACCAAAATATACAAACTGGAAAAAATAATTCATACCAGCTCAATAATTAAATTAACACTGTAGCCCCCATAACAACGTCAACAAAATAAAGTTGTTATGGGGTCTGGAGTTCTTGGACTCTGCCTTACATTTTGGTTCAACCCCTAAAGTTGTCCTCTCTGTGCATACCTACCCAGTTCTTGTGTTTTCTTCTCTGGCCACAGCAATAGTGAAAATGGTTTTCCCTTGGACACCAGTTGTTGGCTGAGAGTAAATGTAGAGACACACTCAATCTATCACTGACTGCCCATCGTGAAGAATGACTTAAAAGAGTATATATTTAATTTTGAGTGTTTATCATCAACACAATCTAGATATCTCTCACCTAGTGATGACGGCAAATTCAGAAATGATTAACAACTTAAAACAAGGCTTACTTTTTGTCATGGTCATCTATGACGCAATATTGAGATTAAAGAGAGAGAAAAAGGTCCAGGTACTCTAAAGCTCAGCAAGGAAAATATATTGAAACCAAGTAAACAACAACCTTTCAAATCTACATTGGGTCTTTGTCAATGACCCATTGTAGGGTCATAGGGTCATGGAAACATAGAATGTGATAGCAGATAAGAATCATTCAGCCCATCTAGTTTGCCCAATTTTTTAAATACTTTCATTAGTCCCTGGCCTTATCTTATAGTTAGGATAGCCTTATGCATATCCCTCTCATGCTTAAACTCCTTTACTGTGTTAACCTCTACCACTTCAGCTGGAAGGCTATTCCATGCATCCACTACCCTCTCAGTAAAGTAATACTTCCTGATATTATTTTTAAACCTTTGCCCCTCTTATTTAAGACTATGTCCTCTTGTTGTGGTAGTTTTTCTTCTTTTAAATATAGTCTCCTCCTTTACTGTGTTGATTCCCTTTATGTATTTAAATGTTTCTATAAAACCCCCTGTCTCGACTTTCCTCCAAGCTATACATGATAAATTCCTTTAACCTTCCCTTGTAAGTTTTCCATGAACCAGTTAGTAGCCCTTCTCTGAACTCTCTCTAAAGTATCAATATCCTTCAGGAGATACGGTCTCCAGTATTGCGTACAATACTCCAAGTGAGGTCTCACCAGTGTTCTGTACAATGGCATGAGCACTTCCCTCTTTCTACTGCTAATACCACGCTTTTTTCTAGCATTTCCTGCTGCTCTATTACATTGTCTGCCTACCTTTAAGTCACCAGAAATAATCACCCCTAAATCCCTTTCCTCAGATGTTGAGGTTAGGACTCTATCAAATATTCTGTACTCTGCCCATGGGTTTTTACATCCAAATGCATTATCTTGCACTTATCCACATTAAATGTCAGTTGCCACAACTCTGACCATTTTTCTAGTTTACCTAAATCATTTGCCATTTGGCTTATCCCTCCCAGAACATCAACCCTGTTACATATCTTAGTATCATCAGCAAAAAGACATACCTTACCATCAAGACCTTCTGCAATATCACTAATGAAAATATTAAAGAGAATGGGTCCAACTACAGATCCTTGCAGTACCCCACTGGTGACAAGCCCATGCTTTGAATATACTCCATTGACTACAACCCTATGTTGCCTGTCACTCAGCCATTCAACAATATTGGAATCCAAATGTAAAGATTGCAGTTTATTGATAAGCCTTCTATGTGCAACAGTGTCAAAAGCCTTACTGAAATCTAGGTAAGCAATGTCTACTGCACCAACCTGATCTATTATTTTAGTTACCCAACCAAAAAATCAATAAGATTAGTTTGGCCTGAAGTAAACCCATGTTGTATCTGGTCTTGAAATACATGTGTTTTTAGATGTTCAACAATCCTATCCTTTAACATGGTTTCCATTACTTTCCCCACTACTGAAGTAAGGCTTACTGGCCTATAGTTGCCCGACTCCTCCCTACTACCTTTCTTGTGAATGGGCACAATATTCGCTAACTTCCAATCTTCTGGGACTACTCCTGTTAACAATGATTGGTTAAATAAATCTGTTAATGGATTTTTTTTTACTAGTACACCACTAAACTCTTTTAATAACTTTGGGTGTATTGCATCAGGTCCCATTGACTTATTTGTCTTTACTTTTGACAAAGTTGAAACGGAACCTCTTCCTCTGTAAACTCACATGTACTAAATTACTAATTTGTCCTTTTTCATAACTGAGGCCCCTTTCCTTCATTTTCATCTGTAAATACTGAACAAAAATATTCATTGAGGCAGCCTGCTAGACCTTTATCCTATTCTACATACCTTCCTTCTTTTGTTTTTAATCTATTTTAATCTAACTAATTATTGTTTTACTTTCTTTTTCTCATTTATGTATCTAAAAAATGTTTTGTTCCTTTTTTTTTTTACTGACTGTGTTATTTTCTCTTCTGTGTGTGATTTGGAAGCTCCTATAACTTGCTTAGCCTCTTTCTGCCTAATCTTATAGATCATTCTGTCTTCCTCACTCTGTTGTTTTTTTTTTATAATTGCTAAACGCTAACTTTTTGTTTTTTACTATTTTGGCCACATCTGCGGAGTACCACAGTGGTTTCTTGAATGTTTTGCTTTTACTAACAAGCCTAATGCAATTTTCTGTGAACTTGGTTCCAATAAATTTGTTTTGCTGAGCTTTGGAGTACCTGGACCCTTTTCTCTCTCTGGGATTTAATGTTGTGTAGGTATTGTGCTAGCCCCTGGTTTGATGGCACCCTATTATTTTTCTCTACTCAATGAGTGCATGTCCTTAATTTCTGTTGGACAATCTTGGGATCTATGAATTTAGACTGCTTGACAAAGAAAGATTGTAAGTAGTGTTGCCAAGACTAAAAGCTACACTCAAGAAAACCTTGGGACTTTTGTAACTATTTTCTATTGAGAGTTGCAAGTGTATACTTGATCAATTTTGAGAATATTGCATTGATATTGAATATCTTGATAATGCTAGTATTGTTTTTAACTTTTGTACATATATTAAAGGGACACTATAGTCACCAGAAGAACTACGGCTTAATGTAGTTGTTCTGGTGAGTATAATCATTACCTGCAGGCATTTTCATGCAAACACTGCCTTTTCAGAGCAAAGGTAGTGTTTACATTGCCCCCTAGGGATACCTCCTGTGGCCACTCCTCAGATGGCCACTGGAGGTGCTTCCTGCCGCAGTGCTGCATAGTAGGCTGCACTACCTTTCATTTTCAGCATAGAGATGCATTGATTCAATGCATCTAGAAATGAGTATATTCAATGCATCTCTATGAAGAGGTGCTTATTTGCCAAAACTGTGTTTGGCCCCGCCCCCAACCCGCCTCCTTGCCGATTTCAGCCAAACCAATGCTTTTCCTATGGGAAAGCATTGGATTGGTTAAAAATCTGCAATTCTGATGATGTCACCAAGGGGCAGATCAGGGGTGGGCCAGCGCCAACAGACCTGCGCAGCACTGGAAAAAAGGCAAGTTTTAACCCCTTCTAAGAGGGTTAAGGGGGGGGGACACACACACCTAAATGGTGGATTAAACACTATAGGATCAGGAATACATGTTTGTGTTCCTGACCCTATAGTGTTCCTTTAATATATGTAGTGTGTGTATAAAACAAAAATCATAAATTCATAGGAAACTATAGTCCCAGAAATGTTATTATTTTGAGGACTATAAGGTCCTTTCCATTATAATTACCTCTGCCCTCTCCACTTTCCTTATAATTAATATTCTTTACTTATTATTATTATTATTATTATTTTATTATTTATATAGCGCCAACAATGTTGGCGCTATATAAATAATAAAATAATAATAATAATAATTACCTTGTTTACAGCACCGAGACACCATCCATGCAGCAGCTTGGTTCGCCTCTTTTATTGTCATCATGCATAATGACTTCTTGGCAATTTTTCATTGTCATATGCTGCATGGAGGCTTTTACTGGGACTGTGGATGTAGCAATCCCTCTAAAAGTGTTTAGAAAATGGCCTATGCACTACTTTTGATGATGAGAAAAGCTCCCCCATACATACTCTCAATCACTTACATGCAAACGCACACTGACACAATACACACATAGCTAAAAAAAACACATTCTTTCTGAAAAATATAAATATACATGCACAAACACATACACACTCTCACTCCCCCTCACATACATACTCTCACTGACACATACAAATACGCACTCGTTGAAAACACTATCTCACTGAAAAATACAAAGCACACATGTATATACGTAGTGGGCATTGGATGAGGTATCCCCTTCAACCAACCATAACTTCCCCAAATAACGACAGACACAAAACTTGGATATAACAGGCCACAGCATTTATTAAAACATACAAATACTGTTTTACTCCTTCAATGTATAAAACTGTACATAGTAAAATATAATAAATTAACATATAAATAACTTGCATAAAGTCATGCAGTAATGTAACCGAAAACGTCTTTGCCAATCTAAATCCCTCTTCCCAAAGGCTTTCACCTCCCACCCTCAGCATAATAAAAACTCCTCTTCCCTTTTGGGCTCCCCACCAGCCGGCTTTTAGCTCGGTGGGGCCCGACCATAATGCTCCCCTCTAGCTGGCTTTTAGCTCGGTGGGGACACGTCCAACCTGCTACCCCTTAAGGTTCACCATAAGAGACAGGGGGAGGATGAGACCAGGCAATTATCCCCCTTATTCATCTAACCTGCAAACCATCTCTCCCTTATTTGGCAAGGACATGCCCCAGCCACAAACCCCGCTGATTTAGGCCCCCACCCAAACCACCCAAGGCCTGTTCCTGGATCGCAGAGTAAAGAGGTCGAGCCCGACCTCAAATTCACCGCCTCCTTCTCAAAGACCTGATG